TAATTTAATTTAAACTGCTCACCCCCTAGCATTTATCCAACAATACACACACTACATGCACTACATTCACTACACAGATACTGCATCCACTAGACACACTGCATCCACCACGCGCACCCTGCATACATTTCACAGACACTGCATCTTCTACACAAACAGACACTGCATCCACTACACACACTGCCTCCACTATACACACACACTGCATACAATACACACTACCAAAGGCGTAACTAGAAACCACGGGGCCTGGTGTAAAAATTGCCCTGGAGCCACCCCTATATATCTCCCAGCCCCCTAACCCCTCCATGTGCTCACTTTCACACCCTTCAGCCCCTCTATGTGTCTCATTCCCGCCCCACAGAGTTAATGTGGTGTGGTTTGGGGGTTAAGTATGACAAAATATGAGTGGTTAATGAGGTAGGGTGAGTGTGGCAGTGTGAAAGGTGGCGAGTGTGACAGAGTGATGAAAAAGGGCGTGACAGGATTGGGGGGGTGAGTGTGACAGTGCTAGAGAAGGTAAGTGTAATAGGATGAATATGGCAAATATGTCAAAGCGATGGTTGGTGAGTATGGCACGGGTGAGTGACAGTATTGGGGGAGTTATTGCCAGTGTGGCAGGGTGAAGGGGCATGACAGTATGTGTGGTGGGGTGACAGTTACACAGACACACAGGTGCATACACTGACGCACATAGAGATAAACAAACACACACACTGACATACATGCAGATACACACCATATAACACATACAGATACATACACGGACACACATGCTGATACATATACATACATGCTGATACAAAGACACACATACACACATGCAAATGAAGACACACAAACTAACACACAGATACTTACATACACACATGCAGATACACAGACACACAGAATGACACTCCTATAGATACAAACCCTGACACAAATACAGATACACAGGGCACACACTGACATAGATATGCAGACGTACAGATACACATGCAGACACACATACACAAACATATACAGAGAAACACACACATACAGAGACATACACACATTTATACATACATACAGAGACACACATACATACACACATGTACAGATGGGCCCCTGAACGTGCGGCCTCTGCGGTTATACCACGCAGGCTGTGGCTGCAACACATCAGTCACATGGTCACACGGGTCCACAAGGCAGCCATGCCCCCTGGAGTGATGGGCCCAGTAGTTCTGCCACTGCACACTACATCCATAACACAAAAACAGACACTGCATTCACGACACACAGACACTGCATCCACTACACACACACACATAATTAATTCACCACACACACTGCATTCACTACACACATTGCATCCACAACACACACTGCAAAACACAATGGATGTTGGCGTGCTTTTGGTGCGGGGCACCACACAACAGGCATTGCATTCACTACACACAATGCAAAACACAATGGATATTGACATGCTTTTGGTGTGGGGCAACATTTCATCCTTGGACCCAGGCAGCACAATGTCTAGGGCCGGCCCTGCATAGACGCATAAATGTGTAACCATGTAAATTAACTGTCCAGACAGTTCCCACCATGAGACAGGTATGCCTAGTATTTTAATTTGTTTAGCGTATACTATTTCCTATAATTCCCACGGTATTAGGGAGCTATCTACCAAAAGGCTGAAAGACCTAAATTGGTCTTTCAGCCAAATTTACTAATACTAGTTTACTAATACTAATACCTGTGGCTGCTCACTGTTAAAAAACAAACAAACAAAACCCCGAGCCTCCACCCGTGCAACGCAAGTGGGGGCTCTTAAACTAAATGGGGGACCTATTGCCCCCCTGGTCCCTCCCATTTTCATTTAAGGCCCCCCCGTCGCTCATGGGTGGTGGGTGGAGGCTAAGGGGACCCCTATGTCCCCCATTTACTTTTATAGCCCCCCACTCGCAGGGCACAGGGGGACACTATGTCCTCCCCGCTAGTTAATAGATGCCCCACCATGGTGGCATTTGTTGGGGGGGGGAGGGTATTTTTATTTTTTACAACAGTGAGCAGCCATTGGCTCCTCGCTGTTTAGTAGACATGCCCCTACTCTCAGGATAGCGAGTAGGGGCATTCAGGAGATTTTAATCTCCCTTATGCTATTATAGGGGACATATTGACCCCCATAAAGTGAGGGACGACATGGGGACTTAGGAAGTGGCGGGGGGCTTAGGAAGTGGCACTGCTCCCTGCCGCTTCTACTTTTACATATTATAAGGAGGGAGCTGCGCGCTGGTAGCTCCCTCATTGTAATAAACCACATGAACGAACGAATAGGTCTTCGTTCATTTGTTTGAAATTTCTATTCATTTATTTGTCTTTCTGATGAATGAATGAATAGATGGAATTCCTGTTCGCATGCCCAAGTGTTTAACTGGGCAAGCGCAGAAATTTTTTACCGTGCTATCTAGTGTGGGCAGATAACATGTCCCACAGGGACTTCATCTACCCACACAAAGATGGCTGCGCCCAGGACTTAGGTCCGGACACAAAATAAAGATGCAAAAACAGGTAATATGGGGGGCTTAAGGGCATTTGGGGGTGGCCAGGGGGACAATTAGATGTAGTGGAGTCGGGAGGGGGGGTTAAAAAAAAAACGGGATTCGGCCATGACAGTGCCGCTTTAAGCGAAGACCGTGTGTGCTTTTCATTGCTGAAATGTTATATTGCATGAATGTTATATTCACTGTATATGAACATAACAGAGTTCCACAGCAAAAAACAGGGCCGGACTGGGAATTAAAAGCAGCCCTGGAAAAAAAATATTTACCAGCCCCATAATGCGTCGCGCCAGCATAGTGTGCACATACAGAGTTAAAACAGATAAATTAAAATTAAAAATACTTCAACGTAAAAAGCGCACTCATAGGCTTCAAAATAAACAAAAGTGCAGATTTATTTTAAGCAGATGTGCCTTTGCATGTAATCAATGTTTCAGTCCAACTACCTTGACATATTAAGGAAAGCTTGTTAATGGGACTGAAATTGTGAATGTATTTAGGGCACAACTGTAAAAAATGTTTATTTTGAAGTCCTGTGGGTGTGCTCTTCACTTTAAATATGTTATTGTGCTGGAGTATGCACCTAGCAACAAGATTGGGCCAATATCTGCTCATTACATATGGTACATATTAATGAAATTTCTCTGTGTATTATGCATATATAAATGTACATTAATATGTGTAAATATAATGTATATATATATATATATATATATATATATATATATATATATATATATAACATACACACATTAATATACATGTCATATATCAGTGACGGATCCAGAACCTGAGCCTGGGAGGGGCACTTGTAGATTATTTAAAGAAATATTCCATGCACAATAACCACTACCTCCTCTGTGTAGTGGTTATGGTGCCAGGAATGTCAGCACCGCCTCCCAGAGTAAGTAGTCAAACCGTTTAAGAACAGTTTGACAACTTACCTGGAG